GTGACCCCTTTGGCAAATTTTTATATCCAAAAATATTTATGTTATGATTGATAACAGTAGCAAAATTATAGTTATGAAGTAACAATGAAAATAATTTTATGGTTGGAGGTCGCTACAACATGAACTGTATTAAAGGATCACAGTGTTAGGAAGGTTGATGGCCACTGCTCTAGAGTCACTAGGGAGATGGACCTCTGGGCATACATGCTAGGGATTATCTTAATTGTGTTAATTGAGGTGGGAGCAGCCAGCCTAAGAATGAACACAGGATCCTGGACTGTACAAGAAAGGGAGCAAGCAACATCCACGCTCATTGCTTTCTACCTTCTGACAGGGACTGTAGTGTGTCTATCTGCTTCAAGCCCTTGCTGCCTTGTTTTCCCACCATAATGGATTTATAGAAAGATCCCTTTCTCTCCTGAGTTGTTTTTGTCAAGCTATTTTATCACAACACGCAAAGAAACTAAGATGCCTGACATAGTGAGCACAGCCTTCTGGGTTTAGTTGTGTCCATTCTGCTTTGGGTCTCTGGTTTCATATTTTAATTGAATTGCACAGCCACACTCCTCCATTATACGGAATTGAATATTTTAATTGAATTGCACAGCCACACTCCTCCATTATACGGAATTTTCTGGCTTGCTTGCACAATTTTCTTCTCTTTTCCACTTCTTTTGAAGCTCCTCTGTCCTTCCTAGACCCAGAATTGATATATTGCTCATACTTCTTCAGGGTTTAGCTCAGACACTTTCTCCAGGAACCTTGTGATCATTTCAGAAGGGTCTGCCACCCTTTGCTCTCCATGCAGGTCTCTCACCTACCTACAGAAAACTCATGAAAAACTCTAAGGAGACATTGGTTGCTGAATCTTTCTCATCTTCACTTTCGTGTCTGGATTGAATTCTCAATTGCAGGCTAATTGTGAAGGGTCCTGAGGTAAAGGTGTGCTACTTTTTAAAAAAAAAACTTGAAATCTTTGGGTTTTGTGAAAGTCAAATGTAGATTTCTAAGAAGAATAGAAGAATAAATTGTAGTGGAATATTATTTAACTATACAAAGATGTGTTAAATTTGTTAGGCTGTGGAATATTGCTTTATGTAAAGATGGGTTACATTTGTTTCTGCTGCCTTTGCTAAAGGTGTAAAGATGTGTTACATTTATTTCATTTGTACCTGATTGATCTAACAAAAAGCTGAGCGGTTAATAGCTAGGCAGAGAAAGGATAGGTGGAGCTGGTGAGCAGAGAGAATAAGTAGCAGGAGAAATCGAGGCTCTAGAAGAAGGGGAGAAGAAGGGAGAAAAAGAGGGAGATGCTTGGGGCCAGCTAGGAGCCACCAGCCAGTCGAACACAGAGTAGGACATACAGGAAGAAAGGTAAAAAATCCCCGAGGCAAAATATAGATAAAGAAGAAAAGGTTAATTTAAGTTAAAGGACAAAAAGCTCAGAAACAAGCATATGAGGGGTCAGAAACAAGCAAAGGTAAAGCCGAGCATTCACAACTAATAAGAAATCTCTGTGTCATGACTTGAGAGCTGGTTGGTGACCCAAAAGAAAAAGTCTGGTACAGAAAATCATCAGTTTGCTGTGGCGTGTGTCCATGTGTCTCTTCAAATGTCAAACTTTGGACTTAACCCTCAAGGTGAAGTTCCTAGGAGACAGAGAGACCTTGGGAGATGGTTAGTAAGGAGGGGAGAACACTTGTGCAAGGTTCTGATACCTCTATGAGAGGTTCTGAGGTCTGTTTCCTCTCTCTTCCAACCATCCTACCTTATGAGGGCACACAGAAAGGGCTACCTCTGAAGACTAGTTTGACTAGACACAAAACCACCTGGAAAGTTCATCTTGAACCTCCTAGCTTTCAGAATTGTGAGAAATAAATTTCTGTCATAAAGCATCCCACATTATTTTGTTAAAGCAGCATAAAAGGACGGTATTTGTGTAAGTTTAAAAGCACCCAATGTTTCTAGGTATTGTTTATATATCTTGCTGTGGATTGGATTGCATCTCTCAGAAAGGTTTGTTGAGATCTTAACTTCCAGTACTTAGACTATGACCACACTGGGAAGTAATGAAGTCATTGTGATGGGCCCAAATCCAATCTTACTGATGAATATAGAAGAGAGGACAGACATACAAAGTGAATCTCACCCGAACACAGAGGCAAAGTTGAGGGTACTGTCATAAATCAGATTACACAGGGGACTTCCTCTAACTTGGAGAGATGAAGAAGGGCCTGATATTCGAACCTTTGGAGGAAGTCAACCCCCCAGAACTGTGGCTGTGAGAAAATAAATCTCTTGTTTTAAGCTACCAAATTTGTGGTAGCTTGTTATGACAGCTCAAGGAAATGTTTAGATATGTCTATGTCTATAAACAAACAGAAGATGGGTAGCACATCAGAGATGTTGGGAACTGATGAGGAGCAAGGTCCGGATGGTATTTAGCTCTGGGGAAGGAGGGAGAAGAAGATGTTTTCAGGAGGCTTTCAGTGTGTTTAGAAACACATTCGACAAAATAAGATTTGACAGCATTTCGTAGTGGGCATAAAGGCACGTGTGATGCTTTCCCAAGTGTATAAAGTAACTTATAATACAAAGAAGAAAATTATAAATCTCTCCTGGGGCCCAAACACCAGGGTGATGCTCGCTTGGATGAAATAGCTGTTGGAAAGACTCTGGGGAATCAGTTACTAGATGCAGTTTGATGCCCATGGTTGGAGGCTGGGCAGTGAATAACAAGGGTTAATGATGTGGGTTAAGTTCCAGTACCACTCCTGCCTTCAAGAAACACACAGCTGAAGTATATGAAGGTAGATCTCTCTCAAAAGAATTATCAGAAATTAATTTTTATTCATTTCCTCAGGAGAGAGGCTATCATTGTCAAGAAGTTCTTATTAGTAATAATAACTTCAAATTGTATAGTTCTTAAAAGTTTAAAATATAATTAGAATCCAGTTCAAACATGCGAACTGAAAATTTCTTGCCCGCAACTTCTTGTGAGTCTAACTTCTGTATTTGTGAGTGATATAGACCAAGTCCTTCTTTTCCATCCTCCAGTCTTCTCTGGGACATCCTGGAAACTCTGTATGTTCCTTCTCGTGACTTAGTACCCTAGGCAGACTCCTTAGCAAGTCTCCTGGTATTCCAGATGAGCAGTCCTGGACAAAGGACTGTGGAGGGACTTGGTTACCCGATGCTGGCATTTTAAATAACAGTGGGACTTCAAGGCTGAAAGGCATGATGCAGTTCTATGCCATCCTGTGGAGTTCTACATAGATCTACATAGTTCTATGTCCTTTTGCTGTTCCTTTTCTTTGAGGTGTCAGCTCAACACACAAATAGCCACACAGGCCACTGTGGGTTCGCTAGGGACAGGCCACCATCTTGTATGTTTTACAGAGCTTTTCTTAGGGGTGCGTCTTCTTTCTGTCACCAACTCAGAAAAAAAAACTTCAAGATTTTGGATAATTTCAGGCCGAGTGTTGGTAGTGCACGCCTCTAATCCCAGCACTCGGGAGGTGGATCTCTGTGAGTTTGAGGCCAGCCTGGTCTGCAGAGCAAGTTACAGGACAGCCCTCCAAAACAATACAGAGAAACCTTGTCTCGAAAAACCAAAGAAAAAAATCTTGGATAATTTCCCCATTTTAGTTACAGTTAGTTTATAACGATGTTTTTTGAACGAGAAACAGTGGCAGCGGGGTGGCATTGAAAAGAGTCATCTCCTGCACTGTGCCAGTGGGATGTGAGCAGGGGGAGTCTGCCTATGACTCCACAATGTGAACCAAATGTCTGAAAAGCATCTCTGCCATCTGGCCTAGCTAGCGGCCTTATTTTGAGAAATTTTTGTCCTAGGCAAAGATAATAAAAGACTAGAATGGTCACTAGATACTTAGAACTACTTAAAACTTGCAAATATTTTAAAAGCTATATGTCCAAATGATGATGATAGTCATATCACATCATCAAACACGTTTACAAGAATGTTTAAAGACATAAAAACCTTTGGTTATAAAATGTTGAACTAAAAAGAATATAAGCTATATTCACAATGAAGCTTCTGTGGTATAAATGACATACCTAGCAATAAAGGATTGCCAGGAACATATGACACCAGAAGGGTAATTTTTCATTTTATTTTATGAATTATGTAGTATACCAACACTATTTATTATAATATTATTTTACAATAAATGTATGTATCAAATAGTGCTAAAAAGGCTTATGACAAAAGGCAACAGTCATCTCTCTGTCTTCCATCCTCCTCCTCTGTCCTAAGAAAAGGCAAAAACAACCTTAAAATTCTGGGTTTTTTTTTCAGTGCCTCATGTGTTTATGGAGACACACGCTTTGTCACATTTATGCAGTTTACATTGCATCAAATGAAGATTTAATATTTGTAAGTGTCCCCATTATTCATTGTTTTTACTCTTTACATGTGTACCACAGCTTTTAGTGAAATACTTATTCGATATTGTCACTAATACTGTGAAAGTTCTCCTTACTGTACTAGGCATGGTTCCCGAATCCAGTGAATAGTTCAGCATATGTATTTCCTCTCTTGAGGAACTTCTGATTTTCCCGGAATTGTTTGTGTTGTTTGCTTAATGCACTTTTATCTTGTGACTTTTTTCTCATACACTCCAAATGCACAACAAACAACCTTCGGCCCAACTTCCCATATGGCAGAAACCTCTTGTGCATCTCTTTGCTCTGAGATTGTCACACAAGACCTGTTTTCCAGCTCCTATGACCAGTTTTTCTCTAGTCCTGTGTACACCCTAATCATTTCTACTGCAGCCATGGATTTTCATGCTTCCCTATCAGGTCCCATTTTTCCCAAATCCCTTCTCGTTCCTTAATTTTGCAATATATATCTGAGAAAGAGTTTGTGAACTTTTGATAGTTTACAGGTATCTAAGCCAATATGCATATCCTTTTGATTGATAGTTTCAATAGGCATAGAATTCATACCCATTCAATTGCTGTTGAAAAGGCCTATGGTGTTATCATCTCGGCAACACATATATAAAAAGTTGGGATGACACAGAGATTAACATGATTCCCGTGCAAGGATGGTATGCAAATTCTTGAGGTGTTCCGTGTATGTGTAGGACATGAAAATACAAAGTGGACCAAAAGATGGAAGGGAGACTTCTAAGAGGAGAAAGGAGGGGGCACAACAAAGGGTAATGGAATAGGTGTGAAAATGTCACTATTTGTATGATAACTATATTAGTTAGAGTATTCCTTTGACCAAATACCTGAAGCAACTTAAGGGATGAGAGGCTTAATTAGACTCATAGCTTTCAGGTAAATGAAAAGGAAGGTATAGGGCTGCCAGTGGCCTTTTCTGTGGCAGCAGGGACCTGAAGCAAGTGGTCACATAGCAGCCACAATCAGGAAGCAGGGAGATGGCGGTGGTCATCTGGCTTCCTCCTCACCATTTTATTTAGTCTGGGGCTAGAGCTGATGAGATGTTTCTGCCAGCACTTAGGTGTGCCTTCCTTCACTCAAGCTGCACTGTAAACACCTTGACAGACATGCCTGGAGGGGTATGTCTTAGGTGATTCCTATCTGGTCAAGTTGAAAATGAGGATTAACAATCACAGTTCCATTCCTTGTCAGCTTGACACCCAAAATAACACTTTTAAGCCATAACATTCTATCTTTGATCCTCTAAAACTCATGGCTGACTTATAGTGCAAAATGTACTCAGTTCATATGTAAGAGTCCTAACATCATAACATTCCCAACACTACTTAACAGTCCATAGTTCAAAGTCCCTTCTGAGAGTCAAGACATTCTCTTAACAATGAGCCCCTGTAAAATCAATAAATAAACTACATATTTATACTAACAGCACAGAATAAATGTTCTTGTTACAAAATGGAGGTATGGGGAAGCATAACAAGGAAAGATCAGACCAAAACAAGACAGAAACCCAGTATCAGAGTAACAAATCCTGTACCCCTATGTCCAGGGTCTGAACTTTAGTGAAATCGTTTGGGCATCAAATAACTTGGTTGATTCGGTGCCTTCAGTTCTGCTATTTGAAGCACACTTAGCCTGCCTCTTGGCCTGACTCCACTTCATGTCTTCATCTTTCCTTGGTGAAATCCTACGATCCTGGCATCTCCAAACTTCCTACAGTCTCCATTGCAATTTCGGCTTCCCCTTCCCAACTGCATTCAATGAGCTTTCAGGGTCTTCTTGTAGGGAGTGTGAGCCTGCCCAACACTGTCTGGCTTCGGCGCCTTTCTGGAACCTTGGTGTAAGTCTCCATAACCATTTTTCTTTACAATGCATCGAACAGGTAAGATTTACCCTTGGTTCTGAAGCAAAGGGTATTTAACATGTGTCTGTGTCATGTGTGAGAAGATCTTCCTCAGGAAAATTCTTCCTAGTGGCAGCTCCTTTTGGATGTTGCAGTTCAGAATGGTCTAGGTTCATATGGAGATACAGTAGTCATCACTTTCCCTTTACACCACTGTGCTCTACCTCCCCTCTTTTGAAAGGCTCCCCTCCATGGCTCCTTACTAAATCCCTGACCTCTGTGGATATCTCAAATGAAGCACATGTATCTGAAAATTTGAAGCTTATACCAAAAAATGAGAGAAAAAATTTGCTGAATCTATGTGTCCTCCTTTAGAATGACTATTTCTAGGTCTGTCTATCTGTGAATTTCATAATTTCATTTTTTAACAGCTGGGAAATATTTTATTACATAAACATTTTCTTTACCTGTTCATCAGTGATAAGCATCTAGGCTGTTTCCATTTCTTGACTATTGTGAATACAGCAGCAGTGAATATGGATGAACAATTATATCTGCAGTAACATACAGAGTACTTTGCGTATATGTTAAAGGGTGTCATAGCTGGATCATGTGGTAGACCTACTTCCAGCTTTTGTGGAAACCTCCATGTTTATTTCCATAGTGGGTGTATGCATTTGCAGTCTCACCAGCAGTGAGTAAGTGTTCCTATCCCCCCACATCCATATCATCATCTATTATCGATTGTTTCTCTTTAATTCTGGCCATTATGATTGGAGTAAGATGAAATCCCAAAGTATTTTTAATTTGCATGTTCTCTGATAGTTGAACATCTAACGCATTATTTCTCAGCCATTCGTATTTCATCTCTTGAGAACTCTCTGTTTAGATCCATGACCCATTTCTTAATTGGGTTGCTTGTTTTCTTGGTGTTTATTTTTTAAAATCCTTTCTACATTCTAGAGACTAACTTTCAGTTAGATTTGGAGCTGGGAAAGATTTTTTACAGCCTGTATGCTCTTTACTCAAACTATGGTGTCATTAGCTGTACAGAGTGTTTCAGCTTCATGTGTTTCCATTTGGATTTTATCATGTGGCTTCTTTTAGAATGTTTATGTAGTAGAAATCATTTATTAATATATGTAGTTGAATCATCTCCACATCTCTAGAATGAATATATTTTAATCACTGTTGGGGAAGTCCTTTACAAATCACAGTGGATTATTCTTTGATGTATTCTTGAATTCAATTTGCCAATATTTTTTTTGAAAACTTTTACATCTATTTTCATTAGACAGGCTGGCCAATAGTGTTTTTTGTTTGTTTGTTTGTTTTTGTTGGACCTTTGTCTGATATTGGTATGGGGCAACCACAGTTTCATAAAAAGGATTTAGAAATGTTCCTTCCTTTTTTTTTTGTTTTGTAAAACAATATGATGAGTATTGGTGTTTGTTCTTTGAAAGCTGACTCTCTGAGCTGCTTTGATGAGTGATGACCCTTTCAGTTCTGCCTCTTCTACTGTTTTTATACTCTATGTAGTTTCTTCATTTCTTTTCATTCTGGTAAGAGTCTTTCACTTGGATTTTCTGCTCACTGTTCGTCTGCTAAAGGCATTTGCTTTGTGGACTATATATTCAATTTATTATTTAAATAGTCTTATTTCTAATACCCATTTCCAGTACTTGATTATTTTACATGCATATGTGTATACATATGCATACTATATTGGAAAGTGATTGAAGTTAACTTACTGCTATACCAAGTCTTTTAACTATGTTTTCTTGGAAACATGTCTTCTACTATATTCTAATAATTAAGCTAGAAAATGTAGAAGATTCTTCGGTATACTAGACGCTGTGAGAGATTCTTAGAAGATTCAGAGTATGAAACCAAAGAACATGAAACCAACTACCAAAACACCTACAAGAGGTGAAAAAGTTAGGGTTGGTATTTTGTGATTGTTTTGACTTTTTATTTTTTGAGAGAGATGGGCAGATTATAGCAATTTGGGTGGGTAAGGAGGCAAGAACGATCTAGGAGGACTTTAGGAGGGGAAAGAATATGGTCAAATATACTGTGTGGAAAATTTTAATTAAAAAAGAAATAGTTTGACATGCCTGCTTGGGTCTTCACAGGCCTGGCTGGCTAAGGATATCCCCAGCCAGGAATCTTGCCACTCTGGGACGGTAGGTGCCTTTGTGATGAGCAAATACATGGTGGGGAAATGGGAGAGAAAGAGAAGCAGACTGTTCGTGTGCTTGGGAAGAAGCAGAACTGAAAAAGTGACGGTGGTGAGAAACAGACTAATGTGTTTCTTGCCACTTAGGGCCATGGTAATGTCCAGGCCTGGCTGCACCACCCCTCACCACAGGCATGCGAGTATTGGTTCTGCCCCTTGCCTGAGGGATGATTCCCAGTGGCCCCAACTAATCAAATAAACTACCACCTAGACCCATATCCAGGGCTTTGAGTTGGCCGACCCTGAGGTCTGCCCAATCTGTGACCTACTGGAGCTGGCAGAGGGACTGATCCTGTGAAAGCAAAGCCACAGGATCTGCTTGACACAGGGCAACAGTAGGATACTTGGAAGGAGTTTCAGTGAGGGTCAAATATTGATGGTGTAGCAGAAGCCAGAGGCCTTGAACCAGATCAACAAAGTGGACAAAGGGTATACTGCGTGACATACAGCAGTTCCCAATGCCACTAAGACAGATGGAAAGGTGATGGAGAGGTGGGAAAGACAGGGGAGTGAAGTGGTTTTGTTTGTTTGCTTGTTTTTGTGGTGTTTTGTTCTTAATCAATGCTTTAAATTTTTCTCTTGGGGGGATTCTATGGAGGTGAGACGCAGTTACGGAGGGACTGGGAAATGAATAGGATTAGGGAGTATGATGCAAAATTCCTCAAGAATCAATAAAAATTATGTTTAAAAAGAAATTGTTTTGGCAAATCTAGTTTTTAGAAAGGAAAGAGGAGTTCTACTGGGACAATTTATTGATGGCATCAGCCATCTCTTGCATCTTACCATTTGACTCTGACTCATTGGTAACATCCGTTGTTGCTTCTCTCCAAAGCTGCTGTTTTAAATGTCTCTTGCTTTTTTTGGTGCTGTCTCCAGAGCCTCGAGTGGCCTCATCTACAGTGAAGCTTGTTTCCCTATGCAGTACCCTTTAAAGCAGCAGCTATTTTATCAGAGTAAATATGCAGAAGTTTGTGACCCAGACCAGGCAAGAGCTGCACATGCAGCTCTTGGTTTCAGAACTGAATTGGATTTTCATTAAGCTTTGATTTTAATTTTTCTTTTTGCATTGAATGTAGTAAATACACTTGGAGGATGCTCAGACAATTTGAAAAATGTAATTGTATGTTATCGAAGTCCTACTTCATTCCAGAAACTGAGACTTAAAAATACACAATTTTGCTCAAATAGAATACTAATAACTTTGACCCAACATATATAATGCAATAAATACAAGTATTAAATTATCAAAAAATGAGTTTTGCATTAGAATTAGTTACAGACTCTTTAGAAATATTTTCATAAACTGTCAAATTATTATTCAACATTAATCACTAAAAATGATCTAAAATGTTAAAAATTATTTCATCGATACTAGTCAAGATTGAAGACAATCAAATAATTGTTTTTAAAGAGAAAAGTCATTGCAGCTCCAGAGTGTGAGTTTACAGGCTGAGGAGGTTCAGTCAAGTCCTCGGGAGGGATTTATGAGTCTTGGAAGAATATGGTAACAATGGAAAGGACAGCAAAGAACACCACAGTCCCCTTCCGAGGAACCTGCTTTGGACACAGGGAGAATATTCCTGCTTCATGTTTC